GTAAGCTTTTAGCAGTAGATCAAAACCCAAAATCATTTAACTACTTGTTGAGCATGAAGAGTGAAGAAATACCAAAAAAGGAAGCAAAAATGAAAGGAATAGAAAGAGGTGGAAATATAGAAAACATGGATATAGTTTATGTTAAAATGAAGAGACAACAATATGAAATGAATAGTGACGAAGAAGCCAGCACAAATCTAAGTGTAGTTATCAACCAAATGCAAGATTTCAGCATATCAACATCATCAGATAGAGAACCAATTACATCAAATTTTCTATGGCAAACAGAAAGAAGAAAAACAGTAAATAAAAATAAAAAGAATACAAGGTTAATAACAGAAGAAAATCATGAAGTGCCAATATTTGTAGACACAATAGAACAGAGCCAATAGTCTCCAACAAATTGTATATGTAACAAGAGCAAATCATTCAAAGCAAATATGCAAAAATATGCAATGCCAGGTGCAAATAAAGAAGAAAGACTAAAGTACACACAATGAATTCTACGTGGTAATCATCACATTAAAACAATTAAAGAGGTTTTCAAAAACAGAAACAGTTGGATTGAGGTAGATTTCGACTGTGAATTCAGTAAAGATGCAGCAATGGATAGAATCAAAGAGAAAGAAGGAGATTGGCTCAAACTGATTCCAGAAAAATCAAAAAGTCAAGAAAAGAAACCGAGCTGCTACACAGTAAGCAACAGCAGAAAAGACAAGAATAAACCCAAAGAACATAAGAAATTTAATGAAAAAGAAGATGATAAAAATGCATACCTAGCAGAAGATGAATCAGAGCCATACATATGCCTAACAATATGGGACCTACCAGCAAACATTAATACAGAAGAAGTAGAATACATGTGTAAAAACTTCAAAAAAACTCAAGTTAAATGCATCAGAAGATCCAAATTCAAAGCTTTAGCTGTAGTCAGGATAGAAAACATAAAAGAAGAAAACATATTATGGTCCTTACCAATCGGCATATACAGGCTAGTGAGAGTAAGCATAGGCAAAGAAGACTTCAACAAATGCAATTCACAAAACTGATTCACAGCAAAAATCTTAGAACTTCCAAGCAACGCATTAGAAGTATTACTACTATGATGTTTGAAGAAAAGAGGAGCAAAATCAGTTTATATTCCATTTAACAGAAATGGAAATCAGAGAAGATCAGCAACAATAACATTTGCAACTGAGGAAAAAATGAATGCGGCACAAACAAAGCCAATAAGATTTAACAATCACTTATTATTTTGGTCGAACTATGTTGAAAGAAAAGGAAAAAGTGAAAAGAAAAGTAATAATACAAGGTATAAGAGAATAGATAATAATAGGAAAAGCATGGATGAAGAAATATACGAATATGACCAAAGAAAAGAAAATAAACAAAAAAATAACAAGAACAGAAACAATAACAGAAACAGAGAGCATTACAGAAGAAACTTAACAATCGAAGATCAGAAGCAGGAGAAAATAAAGAAAGAAAAGAAACCACAATCACAGCCACAAGAAGGAACCGTACACATCGAAAATATTTTAGAACGAATATTAGAAAGATTAGAAAGACTAGAAGAAGATAGAAAGAAAAATAAGATAAACCAACCTAAACACTCCTAAGGGTGCCACAGTTGAACCAATGAATATAGACAAAGAAATCGAAGTATTTTTGCAAAAAGAAAGGAAAATCTTTGAGGAAGAAAGAGAAATTAGATTTCTTTGTCAAGAAAAAGAAGGTGATAGAATAGGAAAAGAAGAATTTAAAAATACAATAACAAGACAGAAACTATTAAAAGAGAAATGGAAAGAAGGAAAAAAAGAAATAAAGGTAGCATGCCATAATATCAACGGACTCAAAACCAAAGGTTGGAAATTAGAAAATTTGCTTGGCTGGGCAGAAAAAGAGGAAATTGCAATACTAGGAATCATAGAAACAAACATTACTGAAAAAGAAGGAAGGTTCCTAACACACGCAGCAAGCAAGAACTATATAGAGTACTGGACAAATGCAGCAGAAGATAAGAAAAAAGGTTCAGGCATAGGAATACTAATAGAAGAACAATGGGAAAAGCATGTGGGTGCAGTCAAGAGAATAAGTGAATATATGATGGAGATCACATTATATTTCAAGCAATTGGAACTGGTAGTAATAAGAGTTTATATACTACTAAATAATAAGACAATGGGAAAAAACATTCAACAGAAGATTGTAGAAATAGTTATGAAACGAAAAAGACAAACACAAGTTGTGATTATGGGTGACTTTAATCATACAGCAGACAATATATTAGATAGGCAACATACA